ACTTCCCAGGGTCCTAACTAGGGACCAATGAAATAAGTAAATCAAGACATTTCGTAACGGAAGTTTTACTCAGTTTTTTAATGCATGTGATGAGCCACATGCATAGTTGGGTCACTCAATCTATCTTCAGTCTTTCTCCATCTACAGAAGAGAACAGGAAAGAGTCTACAATTGATATTGTAAATGCAGTGAAACAGATGAAGAACAATGTCCAAGCCTAGCCCTGTGCCCAGTAGGCACTCGAAAAACCTTCTAGAAATCCGAATATTCAGTGAACCTTCAGCAAGATCAAAAGACCACCTGGGCTTCTCTTTCAGACCTCCGAGACCATCACATCAAGAGTGCTGAAATGCATCCTGAAAGAAGGCTGCTGTGTTGTCATTGTTCTTTCCTTACTGGGGAATCTCAGCATCAGTGTTGGATGGTTCAGTGTAAAACAGGTTTCATGAACCTCGTATCCTTTCATGGATTAAAAAAACCCTTTTTCCAGCGTTTTGGTGGTGTTTCTCATTAAGTCATCTCTGACTCTTTGCCACCAGATGGACAGCAGCACGCCAGGCTCCTCTGCCCTTCACTATCTCCTGGAGTTTGCTCACGTCCACTGAGTCAGTGATGCTATCTAGCCATCTCATCCAATGCCACCCTCTTATCCTTTGGCTTTCAATCTTTCCCAGCATTGGGGTCTTTTCCAATGAGTCAGTTCTTGGCTTCAGGTGGCCAAAGTATGGAGCTGTGGTGGGGAAAACATAAATAATCAAACTGCCATTTGCACAGCTCCATAGGAAAACTAGGAAGTTCAATATGATGCATCTTTTCTAAATGAAGTCAGTTTTAAAATAAACAGTAGTAAATTCATTACTATTTCTCAGTCACATTAAGTACTGGCTCTCTACTCTTCTCCCAGGTCATAAAGCGCCACTGTGTTTAAAAAAGAAAAAAAATCCCTCTATATATCTCCCTATATCCTTAACTCATCATTACACACTTCTAACTCTAGAGGTCAACACCTCCCCCATCACATGGAAACACTGCTACTTTCCCAGCCCTTACTAAAATAGAGCACTTAAAATTCTCCAAGGAAATTCACATCCTCCAGCCACTCTCACACAAACTAAGTACTATGCCATAATTGAGGAACTAAACACTAGATTTTGCTATACAAATTCATTCATATACTTACATGCACAACAGTAAACTATCAAGAAATAAGAAGGGACGGCTGAGATCCCCTCAACACAAGCCTTGGCTATCACTGTACAATGTTCAGATCAGCTTCCAAACCACCCTGCGAGATCGCCAGTCCAGGAGGCCGCCTCCTGTTTGCAGCGGCTAGGTGCAAGGTGCCCTGTCACTTCACATCCATCCCAACGCCAAACCCCAGCAAACCGAGCTGCCGGGATCCAGGGGTGAACCTCCTCGAGGGCCACAGCGCCACTCCCAGTGGCCCTGCCTGCAAAAACTCAACTCCAAGGAACGGATACCTGAGACACAATGCAAGGGACCCCCAGGTGAATTTTCACATTCTGCAAAACCTCAGTAACAAATTATTTTCCCTGCTTTTTTTTTTTTTTAAAGAACCTGCCCGACTAGGTATCCTCAAGGTGCTGCTGCACTACCGCAAAATGCAAGAGGAGGAGAGCCCTCAAGGGGGAGAAACCCAGGGCGGAGCTCCCTGTAAGGGGAGTTGACTGTCCACGGGAGAAGTGTCCCAAGACTTTCTGATCACCATGGCCCTTTAGCAGATAAGTCACATCCGCCCCCGACAGGGCTGGGTCACCCTAATTTCCCTCCACAAGGCGAGAAGAACCTCACCTTTCCAACCTTGAAGTGGTGTGACGAGGAAAAGTAAGACACCTCTCCCTACTGGCCCAGACGGGTCAAACTTCAGAGGCGGCATCCTGCACTTTGTTTTTAAGCGCAGGCAAGAGGGGAAGAAGGGTTGGCGTTCTTAGCGGAATCCCCGTGATTTGCCAGAGGAAACGGCACCGACCAGACAGCATACGCGCCAGCCTTCCCATGCAGCTGCCACGACAGGTGACCGGGCCGCTTTGCAGACTCCCCCGCTCGCTCGGGGGGCTTCACGGAGGTGGGGGGCGGGGGTGAAAGGTGGGCAAGAGGCCGGGAGGGAAATACACTCGGTCCAGACGCCGGGGAGGAAGAGGGTCCGCACCGTGTCCCCTGGGGGAACCGTTTTAAGGGTTTTCTGTCTCCACGATTCAGGGGGAAAAAAAAAAATGGCTCCAAGCCAAACGCCTCCTGATTTACACACACACACATACACACACACACACCCACTCACACGCGCGCGCACCCAGCTCCTCTATCGCCCCATTTTTCTGAGACAACTGAAACAAAAGGCTCAAACCGCTAAACGGCAGCCAGCGCCGCCCGGAGCCCGGGTGTCGGCCACCGTCTCCCCACCGCGATGAGCCCCCCTCCCGTCCCCCCCGCCGGGGACCCGCGTCCAGACCGTTAACGCACGCCGGCTCCGGGCTGAAGGGCATCGCCGGCCTCGCCAGCCTGGCCTCGCGCTCTGCCGCGGCTCCTCGGCCGCCTGCCGTCAACGCGCGGAGCCCCCGTCTCCGCAGACTCGCCGGCCCCCGCCCCTCACACTCACGGGCGCTCCTTCAGCTCACACACGCACCCCCGAACACCCACCGGCGCGCGCACTCAAGCCCCACGCACGTGTCACACGCTCACATCCTGCAGTCCGCCTCCCAACGGTCACACCGCCTGGGCAGCAGCGAAAACAGCGGGGACGTAGTCCAGTCTGAACCCCGCTCCCTTGAGGGAATCCTTCCTAACCCGGGACGGAATAGGTTCGAGTGCCGTCCCAACTTCATTTGAGCCGGACGTGGATGTCACACTCGGTCTGGAGTTGAAAGTCTCGAGAAAGCGCACGTTGCTTTTTGCAGGGAAAACAGTCACTGAAGGGCCTTTGATGGTGATGATCTCAGAAATATTGTATCTCTTTTTTTCAGTGGGTCTTATGGGGAAAAGACTGGATAGCTTCATTTTAACTCACACAGAGAAAAAGCACCCACAGCCTTTCCTCCGCTCTTTAATTGATGTCCTGCTAGGAACAGAAAGTTGATAACATCTGTCCTTCATTTTCCATCACGTACACAGAAATAGCGTTGATGGTTGTGTGACTGTTTACGTATGTGTAGTTTAAAAAAAAAAAAAAGATGAGAGTGGCATCCTTTTTGAGGCTTGCGTGCGTGCATAGCCTGCTCAGTCGTGTCCGAACATGCGTTATATAATTAAATGTAGCAGCCAGTCTTTACAAGCCTTCCCCTCTTTCTTCGATTTTTGCCTATTTGCCAAATTTTTCAAATCAGCTTCAGCTTTAAGAATTCTGGCGTCTGTGATTTTCTGGTTATCAGAAAAGTTGGACTAGTCTTTAAATTCTGAAATTCCGTGCCTATGATTTCACAAATGTTGACAAGTGCTGCCTAGATTGTTTTAATTTTTTAAACTTAATTTTTACACAATATTTGCCCCACCAGCATATGCACATAAGTAAAATGTGTTCAAAAGAAGTATGAGCATAATTTAATCACATTTTCTAACATCTCTAAAATTAATTTTGAAAGCTTTTAGAAGTAAAACTACATTTAAGTCTTAGAATACCTTAAACATAAAAGATGAAATGAGTATTATGCTTCAACTGAGGGCTAAATTTTATACTAAAGTCTGTGGAGCAAAGGAGGTATATACAATATGGCCCTTTCAAAATGTACAGCCTCTAACCATAATTATTTAAAATATATACATTTTTTAAAAATAATAAAATATATACATTTTTTTAAAGTCTGTTTCTCTTTCACACACACACACACACACACACACACACACACACACACACACAGAGTGTGTGTGCGCACTAACGGATCAGGCAATCAGGACCTGGAGAAAATTTTGAAAAACATGACCCTGACTGTTAGACCTTAAAGAATTAGCAAAAGAAGAAAAGATGAAAATATGCAGTTGAAGAACTTTCTTGACTTAACAAATACAAAGAATGTAACAGTCTAACAATGATTTAACACCATTAAGACTGAACAATGTGGGTGTTCTTTCTTCTACAAAATGAAAAAAATATTAACCTTGAAACCACTCTCCTCATAATACTATAGTTTTCCTTACGGCTCACATGTACAAATTCTCTTTTATGCTAGCACTGTTGGGCGCACACATAGCCAGCTCTCAGCAAAACTGCAAAGTCTCCCAGGTCTGTCTTCCACCTCTGTAGTTTCCCACTGTGTGAAAGTGATTTGAATGGTCTTCGAAGCAAGTATCTTCATAGAAGTCCTGCTTCTACCACTTAGGAACAAGTGTTAACAAGAACAATATGCTTAACACTGTTTCTTTAACAGTACATTCAAGTAACAGCATCTACCTCACAGGACTGCTGAAAGAATTAAATGAAATAATTTATGTAAAGCACTTAGTATAATGCCTGATACATAAAATAGGTACTCAACCCCAAATAATAGCTCAGGTTTATTAAATACTTATTACAAGCCAAATGCTATGTCTTGTTGGTTCTTACTGTTTCTTCTGCTCCCTGTCACTCTGGGTGGGTGTCCTTCGTCTCCCTGCCCTTACCTCCACCAGCCCCTTCCCTATTCCCCCTCTCTGCCTTTTCAGGATGAAAATGGCTTCCTCAAGACATTTGAGAGGAACTTCTCGGCTGGTTCAGTGGCTAAGACTCTGCACTCCCAATGCAGGGGGAACTGGATCCCATATGCTACAGCTAAGTTTGCAGGCTGAAAGGAAGACTTGGCACAGCCAAATTATCTTTTAAAAAGACATTTTTAACTTGAAGCCTAATTTACAGAGGTCTATTGAGTCAGTTGTAAATCAGCATTTTAGGCTTAAAAAATCTTTCAAATTTTTTATGAAATAAAAATTACCTATTATTTAAAATCTGAGGCAACTGGGGGTAATTAAGAAGATTTGGCAATAGGGACCCTACCAATGGCCTTTGGAATCCCACTAACCCAACAATTCTCATCTTATTATGCTTAAAATACTTTTAAATATTAGACAGTTCGGCAACACACTGGAAGAAATTAAATCAATCCCCAATAACTGTTGAATGATAATTACTAAAGGAAAGCATCTCTCCTATGACAGTCATGATTGTGACTCTGTTAACTGGCTGTCCTTTAGCTCTAGGTTCAAGTTTGAGATAAACTTCTTACTACCCTGACCAAGTACCTGAAAGTTCTGAGAGATACGTGACCTTTCTTTGGAAGTTATACTATCCTTGTACCTGACTTGGGTCACACAATGAGCTCAGAACTCAAACTGGATCTGATGGGCCTCTGGTATCGCTATGACAACTGGGTGATGATGTAAATATTTCACACTCATCAACGTTTGGCTGTGTGTCCGTAAAGTAGTGTGAGGTTAGTGTCATGGCTGAACACAGCTGTACTGGTCCAAGGCTGGGCCTCATGACATAAGGATCAGCGATCAGAGCTGGGTGCCTGGGTGGGTCTCTGTGTCCTCTCTCCTCACTTCTCTGCACCCTTCCCTCCCCATCACATTGCTCTTAGACATCCAGATACTGAAGATCCAGAAGCTCTCCCTTCAAGGCCTCCTTCCTGCCTGCCTCACACCCAGCATCCCTAGTCACATCTCCCCTCCCTCCTGGCCAGGGCAGAATCCAGAGCCCAGAGCTTCTGCTGCCACAAGCCCTTCTGCCACCAAGATGTTCAGCACAGGCAATGGGAACCTGGGTCAAGATAGAGGGAGACAGGAAATGGCCATAACACAGGAGCTAGAGCCTTTGGAGAATAAGATGCAAGCCTTTTGTCTTTCAGTATGTCCCGAGAGTCCAAAATGCCAGTGCCAGCTTCAGCTTCATTAGAGAAATGTAGCCTTCAGAGTTGGAGAAGGCAATGGCAACCCACTCCAGTACTCTTGCCTGGAGAGTCCCAGGGACAGAGGAGCCTGGTGGGCTGCAGTCCATGGGGTCGCTAAGAGTCAGACACTACTGAAGTGACTTAGCAGCAGCAGCAACCGCCTTCAGAGTAAGGGGAAGTGTACCCATGCTCCACTGTACTCTGCAGAGCCAGCCCAGCCAGACTGTTTCTCTCTGCTCTGGGTCCCACCAGTCACATTTTGAGAAGGACTTTGATAAGTTGCAGCACAACCTGTGAAAGGTGACCAGGAAGGAAGGGCTCTGGAAGCCCTATTATAATGTTATGTGTGCAGTTGAGCTCAGTTGCTTCAGTCGTGTCCGACTCTTTGCGACCCTATGGACTGTAGCCCACCAGGCTCCTCTGTCCATGAGATTATCCTGGCAAGAATTCTGGAGTGGGTTGCTATCACCTCCTCCAGAGGATGTTCCTAACCCAGGGATCACACACATATCTCCTTCAGCTCCTGCATTGGCAGGTGGATTCTTTACCAGTGAGCCACCTGGGGAGTCCATTATAATGTTATACTGTTTTATCAATAGCTGTTGAAGAAAATGGGAATGTTTAACCTAAAAGAAACAGAAGACTATGCCAGTGAATATGATCATGTGGTGAGAGTACTAGTCCTTTTTCATTATTTATTGAGATCCTACTTTGGACCAAACACGGTCCAAATCAAGAACTGATGTGTGTGCATTTATGGAAGCAGAACTTGATTCAGATAAGGAAGAGCCTTCTAACTGGGTGGTCCATCAGGGAAGTGTCTGCCTTGGGAAGCGGCCTTGAGCCCACCCATGCCTCTCCTTTCACTCTGGGGAGCTGGGCTGGACACTCGGAGAGCTACTGAGAGATCCTCCTCTTCTCTCAGTACCACAGCCTGGAGCCTCTGCTCAGCTCATTGCTTCCTCTTCCCCACCCCACTGAGTGCTCCAGAGAAAAGGTAATGCCTGATGCAACATCTGGAATCAAGAGTACTGCTTAACTCACTCTGGAAAGGAAAAGATGGGAAGAGCCGACTCATTGGAAAAGACCCTGATGCTGGGAAGGATTGAGGGCAGGAGAAAAAGGGGGTGGCAGAGGATGAGATGGTTGGATGGCATCATTGACTCAGTGGACATGAGTTTGAGCAAACTCCAGGAGACAGTGAAGGACAGGGAGCCCTGCTGCAGAATATGGGGTCGCAAAGAGTCGGACACAAATTAGCAACTGAACAACAGGAGAAAATGGCTTTGAAAAGGAAGAGTTTTCATCATTGCCTCCTTCCCCACATCCAGGAGTAGAGAGGAGGTAAGTGAGCTACACACTTTGCCCACACTTGAAGCTTCATTCTCACTGCCAATCCTACCAGTGCTGAGGGTCCTTCAGGCAGCCCTGAGTGCTGACCAGACTCTATCCAAGTAGGTAACTGGAGTTGTGTACAATTTTTTTTCTATAAGCAGAGGAGTCAGTGGTCTTCCAGAAGGCACCAAAGTGGCCTTAGTTAAACAACTGTGGAGGCAAGCAGTTGCTTTTTTTTTCTGGTGGTGTCCTAAAACTGCCTCACCTCTTGATATGCAGAATTAGTTTCTGGGAAGGAGGAGGAGTGATTTAAGGTCAGTGACCCCCATAACCTCTGCCTGGTTCAGTATTAAGGTCATGAGAGGCCAGCCATCGCTGAGAGCCTCCAAAGGGAAGGCACTACGACAGCAGAGAAGATGGCATCGTGGCCACACCTGGAGCTGGGCAGGGGCAGCTACACGCACACCCAGGGCAGAGCTCGACCGTTTGGATTCCAACCTCAGGAGGCTGGCTGCCTCTGGGAAGCTGCGGGGAGGAGAACCATGGAGCTGGGAGCTGAGGGCTGTCGTGTTGAAACTATGGATGATCAGGGTGTAATCCTGTAATCCGAAATATAACAGCAGAAATGACGCCAACATCAGATACCTCAAACACTTAGCTGTTTCTCTGTCCTGTAAAACCCGGTTGTTATATCCTCTTTTGGCTTTTGCTTTAGCCACCACGTGGAAGAACTAGTCAGAACGTGAGGAGAACAGACATGGTCACAAGGCCCAGGGTTCTCTCTCACTTGGTGACGGGGAGCCTGAACCCATTCTCCACTTCTCCAACCTTCTCCACTCAGCCTGTAAAAGAGGCTGGTGGTGTTGGTCCCCAGTTCTACTGGACTCTAAAGTTCCATAGCTCACTGGATAAGATTTGTTAACAGAAAGACGTAGGGCCCTTTCCTAACCTGCGACTTGTCTATAATTTGGACTACTCATACCAACCTGTCAGGAATATTTTTGACTGGGCCATATGAAAGTAAAGGACAGGTGAGTTGCCAGGGGGTGCGGGCTTGGCTGCATGTGGTTTTAGACCTCAGTGGACTTGTTAAAGTATAAAGTGCCAAAATGAGTTTGCAAAGGGTATGTATGTATATGTTTCGCTGCTAAGTCATGTCTGACTGTCTGCAACCCTATGGACTGTAGCCCGCCAGGCTCCTCTGTCCATGGGATTTCTCAGGCAAGCATACTGAAGTGGGTTGCCTTTTCTCCCTCCAAGGGATCTCCCTGATCCAGGAATCAAACCCGCATCTCCAGCACTGGCAGGCGGATTATTTTACCCTGAGCCTTAGTTTCTCCACATCAAATTCACCCAATTTACATTTCTTAAGCTGGGAAGGCTGTAGAAGAGGAAGGAGCATTTTAAAATCACCTTTCTGCCTCCTCCCCATCCTTTCCTTCTCTGTGTCCCTGCTCCCTTACTCACCCTTTTCTTTCCTTGACCATGAATCCAAAATATACCTGCTCTCCAGGACAAAGTCACCAACAGGACCCGTGTTCAAGTACTTGTCTATTCTGCAGAGGTCTGCCATAGTCTTCTGAGGATATAAGCACAGCAAACACGGTTGAAACAGCCACCTTTCTCCCCTCTTGCTTGCTAACAGAGCCCAGTGTGTTAAGCCTGTCCACGTCCTCCACAGGCTGGTGCTCCCGGAAGCCTAGCGTCAGCCCACCCCCACCGGGGTCTCGGCCACTGGTTCACAGGGGGGATCCCAGGCCAGCCACCACGGCACCTTCGAGTTGTCAGAAACACACCTTTATCCACCTCAAACTTCCTGATGGAAACCCAGGCACTGGGGGCTGGGCATCCTGCGTGGCAACACGCCCCACAGGTGACCTGAGGCACACAGAAGAATCACTCCTCGTAAGCCAATCTTGACCATTCTGCTGTCTTCCCTTAAAAACAGGCAAGTGACACCATTCTGGTCGGTTAAACCTGAGTGCTAGTCTGCTAGGGAAGCCTTTGAAAACAGCTACTTAGCTCCTAAAAAGATATATAAGGACATTTCTCTAGGGATTCCGTGGGCTCTAACTGTTTTCTTAATAATACTAAAACATCATTTACATTTTTATTCTCATTCTCTTATAAACGTACACTGGTCTTCTCTAGAGGTTCCAGGAAATGTTGACTCCACAACAGATTGGGTGCCAAAGCAGACATGAGAGCCTGTTCTCTAATAAGAAAGACATTACAGAGATTTGTAAAAAAAAAAAAGCAAATACATAAAAATAAAACAATGCCACTCTTCCCACAAGATTTTGTTGTTGTTGTTTTGGAAAACATAGTTGGTTTTTCATAAAATATGTGTGATTTTTATCAACATATAAAGATGTATTGTTAAGAACTGAGAAATGATTTTTAAATTCTTATTTTAAGTTATATAAATGGTAAACATAGAGGTGGTTCAGTGGTAAAGAATCCACCTGCCAATGCAGGAGATGTGGGTTTGATCCCTGAGTCAGAAAGATTCCCCTGGAGAAGGAAATGGCAACTCATTCCAGTATTCTTGCCTGGAAAATCCCTTGGACAGAGGAGCCTAGCAGGCTACAGTCCATGGAGTGGCAAGGAGTGAGACATGATTGAGTGACGGAGCACACACACACCCACAGACATTGNTCCACCTGCCAATGCAGGAGATGTGGGTTTGATCCCTGAGTCAGAAAGATTCCCCTGGAGAAGGAAATGGCAACTCATTCCAGTATTCTTGCCTGGAAAATCCCTTGGACAGAGGAGCCTAGCAGGCTACAGTCCATGGAGTGGCAAGGAGTGAGACATGATTGAGTGACGGAGCACACACACACCCACAGACATTGATAGCTCTAACCCAGATTATTATTTTTTTAAAGCTCTTCGGGGTCCTTAATTCTTAAGGATGGAAAGGATAAATCCTGAGGAAGTCTGAGGGCTTCTCCTTGGGGCGAGGATGCTGTGGCTTCTGTTGCTGCTGCCATCTTCTGACCATGAGGAGTCAGTCAAACAACCAGGAAGGCAGGGCAGAGAGAACGAGTCTGTGAGGTCGCTTTGACTCTCTGAAGCCCCAACCCTGGTATGTATTCTACAAGCTTTCACCATCTTTAAATGTCTTACTCTCTGAGATAATAAATCCCCTTCTTGCATAAACAGTTTTTGGTTGAATTTCCTCTTACCAGCTGAAAAAAATCTTCCCAACCATAGTAATTTACATTTAGCTCTGAGGACTTCAATGACCTTTTTTTAAAAAAAAAAAAATTATTATTTTTATTTTGTTTTCCGGCTGTGCTGGTCTTTGTTATTGCACGTGGGCTTCCTCTGGTTGTGGCAAGTGTGGGCTATACTCTCTGTTGCGATGTGTGGGTTTCTTGTTGCGGTGTCTTCTCTTTTTGCAAAGCACAGGCTCTAGGGCATTCAGGCTTTAGTAGCTGCAGCTCCTGGGCTCTAGAGCACAAGCTCAGTAGTCGCAGTACACAGGCTTAGTTGCCCCAAGGCATGTGGGATCTTCCTGGACCAGGGGTCAAACCGGTGTCCCTTGGATTCTTAATCACTGGCCTATCAGGGAAGTCTGACTTCAATGACCTTTACATCCATTTTGCTCATGTTTCCTTCCATAAACAGGATCAGTGACATTATTTACCAAATGAAGACACTGAAGCCCCAAGACAGAACTTAAAAAAGAATTGAGGATAAAATGTGATAAAGCTGTCATTCATAAAGTTAACAGAAATCATCAGCACTCTGAAAAAGCAGATGCTGAAGAGACAGCCAAATCATAGAACATACAAGAACTCACACACATTTAGGAAAGCAAATCTCTTGATTAAGACTATGGACTTAAACCATTACAGTCTTTATTTTGTAAAAATAATAATTTTTATGTAAATTCTAGCCATTTTCAGTTTAGTTCAGTAAAAAGCTTAGATTTAAAATGGCAAATTCGGAGAATCAGAGACTGATTAAAGTGATGTTTAACAATAAGACGGATGAATACAAGTATTGTCATGCCTATATAATTAAGCATTGCTCCAATGAGAATCACTTATTAGATACTTAATAACTTTTGTTTTCTAAAAAACTAGAGGACTTCCCTAGTAATCCAGTGGTTAAGAGTCCACCTGCCAATGCAGGGGACATGGGTTCAATCCCTGGTCCAGGAAGATTCCACACGCTATGGGGCTACCAAACCCATGTGCCCCAGCTTCACAGCCTTGGCTCTAGAGCCCGTGCTCTGCGGCAAGAAAAGCCATGGTGACAAAGGCCCCCTCACTGCACCTGGAAAGTAACCCCCAGCCACCCCAAGTAGAGACAGCCGGACGGAGCACAGCAGTGAAGACCCAACGCAACCAAAACAAAAACTAACCTCCAAAGCTCTGAAAGATTGACGTAGTATTCATTCACTGTTAGGCACCAGACTGTAGAAGAGATTGAAATAGCAATCTTAAATTGAGCATTACATTGAAATAGGTAAGTGATCCCCATTGATTATACTCCAGTAACCTTACTCACACCTGCAAAATAATGCAAGAGCTTGGGATATTGTTGCAGAGATGGCTAGTTGTCCACCAAAAGCCTTATCACATGATAGGGCTGCAACTAGGAAGTCTCTGCCCAACTAGGGACGATATTTCCCAGAACCCCGTTCTGCCTAAGTGGGGCCATATGCCTGATGCTCACCAGTAGAATGTGAGAAGTAAACATGTGCCACTTCTGGCCAAGGTGGTTAAGAAATGGGTGTGTTTCTCCATCCTATCTCTTCCCCTGGATGCCAGCTCAACACAAAGAACGTGAGGCCCCAAGGAACAAAGCCACCAGATGGAAAGGGCCTGGATTTCTGAATCACTCATAATGGAGAGCTGCTTGCCAACAAGAAATACCTGCATGGGACTGCTAACGGAGTACAAAATAAACTTCATTTTTTAAAGCCTTTAAATACTGCAGTTAATGTTAACATTAGCTTCCCTGGTGGCTCAGTGGTAAAGAATCCTCCTGCCAATGCAGAAGACCAGGGTTCAATCCCTGGGTCAGGAAGATCCCCTGGAGACGGGAATCACAACTCACTCCAGTGTTCTTGCCTGGAGAATCCCAAGGACGGAGGAGCCTGGCGGTCTACAGTCCATGGGGTTGCAAAGAGTTGGACACCACTTAGTGACTAAATAACAATCATGTTAACATATAATAGATGCTGGGCTATCTTGAAGTGTTGAAGCTCTAAGTAAGCATCAGAAAAGTTTTTTACTTTAGCAGAAAAAAGAGCAAATTTCATATTTACTATTGTATGCCCATCTCCAGTGTCTGGAGTGGTAGCAGGTAGGAATTAGTTCAGTTCAGTCGCTCAGTCGTGTCCAAGTCTTTGTGACCCCATGGACTGCAGCACGCCAGGCTTCCCTGTCCATCACTAACTCCTGGAGCCTACTCAAACTCATGTGCATCGCATCGGTGATGCCATTCAACCATCTCATCCTCTTACATCCCCTTCTCCTCCTGCCTTCAATCTTTCCCAGAATCAGGGTCTTTTCCAATGAGTTGGTTCTTCGCATCAGGTGGCCTAAGTATTGGGAGTTTCAGCTGTAGCGTCAGTCCTTCCAATGAATATTCAGGACTGATTTCCTTTAGGATGGACTTGTTGGATCTCCTTGCAGTCCAAGGAACTCTCAAGAGTCTTCTCCAACACCACAGTTCAAAAGCATCAATTAAAAAAAAAGCATCAATTAAATATGTGATGAGTAATTGAACGAATGAATGAACAGATCAGTGGATGGATGGACAATGCATGAAAATATTGTGTTCATGTGGAAACTGTAATAGTTTGGAATAAAGTAACACTAAGTATTGGGGGAAGGGTCACATGTTGACCAGCATTTATTCCTGGCTATTTTGCATAAAGGACTAACTGGAGGCATTAAGGAACAAGCAGACTGGGCAGACTGAGCAGGCTCATGAGGTGTGGGAGAGAAGGTTCAGCTTGGAAAGGTGGTCGGACCATGAGTTCTATCTTTTTATTCTCTGATCTTTAACATGAGTGATTAGATATACTAGCTAATGATTCTACATTTATCTATTTTCATAATGAGTAATGTTTTCGATCCTTTATTATTTTAAGAAGTAAAAGTACACGAGATGAGAAATCCATATCTTTCAATGGTTTTCATCACATCCCAAAGTAATCACTGTAACTTAAGTACATATGGTAATAGGCAAGCTACCCTACAGGAAGTCATCAGCTTCTGGTGTTCTGGCCTTGCAACCCTAAACACATACAGTGATAATAACAAATATCAATTGGCATGACAATAAGAAAGATATTTGTTTTTGATATTAGTTTTAAGAAAAACTCATATCTTTTTTCTTTTTTTTGCCANTCTGGTGTTCTGGCCTTGCAACCCTAAACACATACAGTGATAATAACAAATATCAATTGGCATGACAATAAGAAAGATATTTGTTTTTGATATTAGTTTTAAGAAAAACTCATATCTTTTTTCCTTTTTTTGGCCATGTCATACAACTTGTGGGATCTCAGTTCTCTCATCAGGGATTGAACTTAGTCCATGGGCACTGAAAGCCCAGAATCCCAACCACTAGGCCACCAGGGATCTCCTGAAAAACTTAAGTCTTATATGAACATTTTTAGAGATTAGAGAGAACATATGCACTGACATTTCTCTAAAGAAGAATTCTAAATATTATTTGTCTTAATAAGGTTAAAAGATGGAATAGGTAATTGGTTTGGAGAAATAAGACAACACAAAGTCCACAGAAGAGATAGGTTTCCTAGAAATTATTCTATTGAAAAATATATCTATTTGTTATATATGAATATAATCAATAGAATGTATATTAAATATGATCATTATAACTAAATATTATATATATTTCTGTGTTAAATGGTACATACTTTCTGCTAACCTTCCAGCATCTCCTGAACAAAAGAGGAGATGCTATGGAAAGTAGACTTGTTGCTTAGCAACCTGAAATTATGAGACATATTCTCTTTCATTGACTTGATTTTAAATCAGGCTCTTCAAGGGCAACTATGAGATAAATGAAAAAATGTGAGAACTCATAACGCTAGCGCCATCCAATGAGCTTTAGGGACAAAGCTAGGTATGTTGCCACATGTTAGGATGTTGAGGTTAGTTTGGAAAATATTAATTTTACTCTGGAACATCCTCTCTTTTTCCTGTAGTGATCACTGTTATTTAAAAAGTCTCTTGCTAAAGTCGTAACTATCTGAAGAGTTGAATATTTTAATTAGCTTGAATGCATTCATTATTTCGCAATATATAGGTATATCAAATCATCAGATTGTACACCATAAATATATACAACTCTGAACTGTCAAATATACCTCAGTAAAAACAAAAATATCTTACCTCTAAGACTACATAGGTTAAGAACAAGTCAAAATAGAATACGAAAAATATTTTGAATTTAATAAAAATTAAAACACAACTACAAAAAATAGCTCTTGCTGATGAAGGCATAGCTTTCCAGAGTGGTTGTGTGTGGCTTTTTTTTTTTAAATAGTAAAGGGAGTGTGGAAACTTGAGGGTAAATTTAGGTCTGAGGCCAAGAAAGCCTTTGTAAAGCTTTCTATACAGTGGTCTTAAAAGAAGGAAAAGATAGATGATGGATAGATAGACAGATAGATAGATACTGTTTGTAATCTCCAAATGTGGAATGTTGTTAAAATAGGAAATTATGCTTTTTTGCCAATACAAGATAATTGCATTATTTCTCTGGTAGAAATTAAGTCTGAAACCCAAATCTAGTTCATTTATTCCAATGTACCGCTTCTAAGGAGAAAAAAATATATAATTTGTAGCAGTATTTTCACTTAACATGACACAGGGAGCAAGGAAGAACAAATTCTAGGGCATGGAAATCTGGATCCCCAAAGCAGAGATAAAAGCACATCTATGCTTTTAGAACTCTTGGTCAGGGCTCCTCCTGCTGGAATAACATATTCAGTATCATGATAGCCGACTCCTGGTCAAGATTCAAATTTTTAACAAGTGTAACACAGTGTTGCATGGTCAATAAGTCACAAATTCCTTTTTGTGGCAAGGATGGCAGGGAGAAAGATTTCGCATTAAGTGCTGATTTATTAATAAAAGGTCCCTGTCACATCTCCCGTTTGCCCAATAATTGATGTTTATATCGGAAGTTTGGTTAACATTTGCAGAGGACTTCTGACCTCTCTGGCAGCATTCTAAGTACTTAAATATAGCTGTTCATTTCACTCTCACAACCATGTGAGAGACGACGCCTGTCATCTTCATTTCACGTGTGAGGAAACTGCAAGGCAGGCGGGAATGGATCTATTTCCTAGGCAATTTACATGTTTCAAGTTATTGGAAATGGCATTCCTAAAATTTCATTTTTCAACTTTTCATTTATAGTATGTAGGAAAAAATGGTTTTTGCTTATTCATCTAGCATCCTATGACTGCTGCTTTATTAGTTGTCTTTTTTTAATATCTCATAAAGTTTTCAACATGCATAATCATGTTGTTTGTGAATACAACAGTTTTACTTATTCCTTTACAGTCTGCATGCCAATGATTTCTTTTCCTTGAGTGATTGCTTCAGCTAAAATTTCCAGTATAATGTTGGGTAGGAATGGTAAAGGGGCTTCCCTGGTGGCTCAGTGGTAAAGAATCTGCCGGCAATGCAGGAGATGAAGTTTTGATTTCTGGGTGGGGAAGATCTCCTGAAGAAGGAAATGGCAACCCACTCCAGTGTTCTTGCCTGGAAAACCCCATGGACAGAGACCCTGGTGGGCTACAGTTCATGGGGTTGCAAAAGAGTCAGACACGAACAACTAAAAACAACAAGGAATTGTAAAAGTGGATATTCTTGCTTGTTCCCAATTTTAGGGTGGAACTATTCAGTCTTTGCTATTATATGTGAATTGTAGTTATTTCAATAGATGCATTTATCATATTGAGGATGTTCCCATATTTTCCTAGTTTGTGGTGAGTTTTATGATGAATGAGTGTTAAATTTTATCAAATATCTTTTTGCATATATTTAGTGCTCATATGGTTTTTCTCCTGTATTCTGTTAATGCAGTGAGTTATAAATTATACTGACTTATTTTCATTTTTGTTAGTTCCCCAACCAGGGATCGAAGCTGGGCCCCAGCAATAAAAGCACAGAGTCCTAACCACTGGACCACCAGGGAATTCCCAACACTGATTGATTTTCAAGTATTATTCAGTTGATCATGATGTATTATTCTTGTTGTATATTATTGGTGTTCAGTTGCTCAGTCATATCCAATTCTTTGCAACCCCATGGACTGCAGCATGCCAGGCTTCCCTGTCCATCATCAACTTCCAGAGCTTGCTCAAACTCATGTCCATCAAGTCGGTGATGCCATCCAACCATCTCATCCTCTGTTGACTTAGTTTTCTGAATGTTGAGTTTTAAGCCAACTTTTTCACTCTCCTCTTTCACTTTCATCAAGAGGCTCTTTAATTCTTCTTCACTTTCTGCCATAAGTGTGGTGTCATCTGCATATCTGAGGATATTGATATTTCTCCTGGAAATCTTGATTCCAGCTTGTGCTTCATCCAACCCGGCATTTTGCATGATGTACTCTGCATATAAGTTAAATAATCAGGATGACAACACACAGCCTTATCCAATTTGGAACCAGTCTGTTGTTCCATGTCCAGTTCTAACGGTTGGTTCTTGATCTACATACAGATTTCTCAAAAGGCAGGTCAGGTGGTTTGGTATTCCCATCTCTTGAAGTTTGTTGTGATCCATACAGTCAAAGGCTTTGGTATAGTCAATAAAGCAGAAGTAGATGCTTTTCTGGAACTCTCTTGCTTTTTTGTGATCCAATGGATGTTGGCAATTTGATCTCTGATTCCTCTGCCTTTTCTAAATCCTGCTTGAACATCTGGAAGT